GCGTCAACGCCCCGGGGGAACGGGGCCTGGGCTGCCGCGGGTTGCGTGTGGAGGGACGTGGGGTGTCTCTCCGCGTGGGCCCGCACGTGCCCGCGGCTCCCGGCAGAACCTCCTTGTCAAACCGCCTTGTCAGATCCGGCAGCAGTCGTGACTGACGCCTGCGTTGTGATCCGCGAAGTGGAGATGATTAAGATGCTGGCCTGGTCCTTACAAAAATAACACGTTCCCAGTGGGAGTTGCAGCATTCGCTGAAGCAGCTCTGATCGCCCCTAAGCCGTGTTGCCTCAAACTTGGCGTTCGGCTGTACCTGAGCGATTGGAGATTTCGCTTTCCACAGCGCTCCGCTGGAGGTCAGCGCTCAGGAGGCCAAAAAGGTGCTTCTACACACCTGGTTGCAGAGCCGCACTTTCTGTGCCATCGTGTTCAAGCCTCCGTGTATTTTTCTTTACACTTTTTCATACCAGTTAGCCACTCACCTTATGCTCATGTTTCATTTAGGCATTGTAAGTGTACAATTAATTAGTTTTATGATTGAAAACAAGTCCTAAGACTTCTTTCTCGTGTCCCGTCTTAAATACACCATCATTTCGACTGCTTGGAGATGGAAAATAAATTTGTTCTTTTCACATCGGCAGGATACTTGCAAGGCAGTAATAGTTTGCATGGCTTGCCCAGAGAACCCTAGCAGACTGAAGGTGCCTTATGCTTTTCATGAGCATGAAAGCTCTGCAAGAAACACCTTTTAATAACTGCTTGAGCAAAATGCCAGAAGAAGAAACCAAATGTGCAGACAAGCACCTCCTTTACTGAGAGTGCCTTTCTGTGCTCTCTCTGGCTACTGACATGCAGTTTGGCAAACGAGTGTAAACACTTCTAAGAAATGTTTATTGGTGAAGTAATTCTTTATAAATAAACCTGTTTGAAGTTGTAAGAACATGTTTTAAGACATAAATTTCCTAATTGTGGGATACAGAGCAGCATTCAGCCATTATCTGCTCACTGCTGGCAGGTTAAAGAAGAGCAGCTAGGAAGCTTTCTCTGTTCAGTGGCTGTCTGGCGTCAGTTTGAGGAAGTAGGAAAACAACGTTTGACAGTTGCATCCTCTTCTGCACAAAGAGAGAGGGGGTGCTGGGCGGCAGTGGGGTGCTCCTTTCAGGTTAGCTTAGGTAAGCAAGTAGCTAGTTTTTGTTTAAGAGCAGCAAGAAACCTTGGGTTTGGGAATAATAATTTTGTAAGGAGCTAGAGCTTTCGGTCGTAAATTCTTGAATGGTAACCAAAAAAGAGTTGACTAAATTTGCTTCCTGGAGTAAGCCAAGTCATGGATTATATTTCCCTTGTCTTCTATGCTGGTTGTAGTATATTGAAATTACCTTTGTTTAATGAAAACAGTGTCCAAATACTCTTTTCCTGTATTGCTAAAGGAGCTTCTTTTCCCCTCACAGCTGAATTCAGGAGTCAGAATTTTTACTCGTTTGTAGATTCGTAATATAATCGAGTGCTAGAGTTAATAATGTGAGTGTGCATCTTTAGGTGCTGTACCTGCTTGAGTGCATACATCCACACAACTACAAAAAAAGGTACCAAGATGTGATTAAACTAGTTTTAACCTGACATTCCTCAGCGTGTACTTGCCCACATTAGTCAGCCTTTCTGTGTGAATTAAAGCAACAAAACAAAGCCCCAAGAAGTGGCAGAAAAAATCTCACCTTTAGAGTTACAAAGTCAACTTGAGTGAAAAAATGGTGCACTTGAAAGAGTTCTCTGATTGCTTCAGTGTGGTCCACCTCATGGACCGTGAGCCAAATTCATTGTGGGGCGTGCTTCCCCCCAGCCCACTGCCCCTTCCCAGGCAGAGTGCCGGGGTCCCTGTTCCAGGACTAAATGTAGCCTCAAGGGCCAAAGGCCACCAGGCTACTCATAGTCTGGTCCAGAAGCTCAGCATCGCTGTAGCCACTGCTTTTGGGCGTGGGGGGGGACAGAAGGGGAGGCAGCAGCTGCTGCTTTTGACAGCTTTCACAAATGGTCACTTGCTGTGCGTGGTGGTCTCTTTATGGCCTGACAGAAAGCAGTGTTGGGTATGTGAGAGCTGCACGTGTGGTCGAATCTTTACTTTGAATCGACGAAATGATGTACTCTTAAAAAAATGGTCTCAGATTGGGCAACCAAAGCTAGTCATTGCTTTGACTATTTTATTTTCTTTTTCTTCGCATCTCCAGGCAGTGCATTCTGCTTTGCAAGAGTAAATTGTGAAGTGTTGGGGTGTTGTAATGATAAAAGCCCGTGAGATAAGCTGGGGTACATGTACCTCCCTTTTGCATGAGCAAAATCTTATTGGAATTAAAAATAAATAATTGAAGTATTGTTTGCTAGAATGGAGTTTTTCCATTAATTGCTGAGGTGGATTATGAATTCTAAGTTCATCTTTTATAACCTATTGCATTTTTGAAGTGAATATGGAGAGGATGCATGGGTTTGAAAGATGCAATACCTCATAACATTGGGGGTTTTGAGGTTTTGGGGTTTTTTTTCCTCCTTAAAATAGCCCTAAGTCACAGAATTTTCCTACATGTATACTTGTAGCAGAGCACCACGGGTTGCTTGTTTTGGTGTTACAGCAAGAAACTTTGAATCTACTATCATCAATTCTGAACAGAACTGTAAAGACGTAAGATCAGTTGTCCCAGAGGGTAAGAGCTGAAATTTAATTACAGTTTCCCTGTCTCAAGGAGGAAGGTTTCAGCAGCTGTGATACTGTACTCAGTTTGCAAAATCATTGCTCAGGGAGGGGAATTATTACGAGGAACATGGTCTCTTTGTGGATGAGTGCTTTCTGCCACAGTATAACTCAAATTGAAAGCTCTTACTGAGTCTTTCTGCCAGACTGAATCAACTTGGTTTGTTAAATATTTCATGGTTTTTAGAAACAAGTTTGAATTATTTTTCAGTGAGTGAGAACTTCCTGTGAGGAGAAAAGGACAGATTTTGCTAACACTGCAGCCGATGAGCTTTCTATTTCTTTTTGTTGTTTTGTATTCCAGGCTTATATGAATCCCATAGCTATGGCCAGAGCACGAGGTCCGGCCCAAAATTCAGGACCAACAATACAAGACTACTTGAACAGGCCAAGGCCAACATGGTAAGTGGGAATATTAGTCTGCCCTTGTGATCTCTTGAGTAGAAGATTGTTCCCTTTTACTAAGATGATACCAGATGATACCTACCTCCTCCCCAGGATACCAGTAATACATTTTGAAAGATACCATGTGTCTGGCCAAGAGGTTGTTTTCTAAATATGTATTCAGTCTCCTGTTTTAAAAACAATGTTACTTAATCTTGAAATACATAACTTTCTCATTTGTCTCTAAATATGTTGGCAAAAATTTCTCAAAAGAGGAAGATGTTGGTTATTTTACTTTTACAAATCCTGATACCTAAAGCCTGCAGATATATTTAATTTTAAACAAAATAATCTCTAGAAAAACATTTTGTTCATATATTTGTAGAACACAGTTTACCTTACCCAACAAAATCATCACTTTGAGATATTATCAACCTAACTTTATGTTTAGTCAATTTTCCCTCCTCTCATAAGACATTAGAGAACAATTTTCTTAATTGCAAACTTAACTTTAGATCTTTCAGAGGGATTTAGCTACCGTACTTAAGTTATTAGGGTTAGGTTACCATGCGCATAACATCTAAGATGCTTTCATTCTTCTTTCTGTTGGAAGTTCAGCCAAAGCTAAACTTCAAAAAACCCTACAAAAGGTTAGACACTTAAGAAGGTATTTTTAATTGTACAAATTGTGATCTGTCATCCTTTTTATGTAGGGAAGAAGTGAAAGAGCAACTGGAAAAGAAAAAGAAAGGATCCAGGGCTTTGGCTGAGTTTGAAGAAAAGATGAATGAGGTTGGTAATGTTACTAGTGTGTTAAAACTTGATTCTTCTTATCTTATATGCTGCTTTTCCTCCATTATCGTTAGCAGCACCAAGTACCCATAATATTTCATTTCACTCAAGTTTTTAATGAGTAAATGTTTTGTTTCGTTTGTATCAGATGTTAGGGTTACCCCCGAACCAGTGAAGAGCTACTCTCAGCTCAGAGAAACACTGTATCAAAAGGTTTGAAAACACCATCAGCCTTCAGTATACAGATAGGACTGTAAAGCATTTCCTTCTTTCTCATCCTAAGCTGAATACATGCCATGCTGGTTCCCTGCTGTAAATGCAGCTGTTCTGATGTTTGTGTTCAGTACCTGCTGGAGATCAGCATGGTGTAAGAAAGTTTCACCTATAACTCCTGTGGTACACATAGGAAGAAATTAGTATATGATGAATGTAACTGTTCCTTCTTGGGTTCTGGTATCCTGGGATAAGCTTCAAGCAGTAGCCTTCATCATTGTGTGAGAGTTTCTGGCTGAAGTAGATGGTGCTTCTCCTCTGTTACTGGAAGGGCATAGTACCTCTGCTCTTGCTGTAAGTTTTTGCCTAAGAAGCTACACCAGTAACTGGAGGGTTATAGGGTGCTGTTCTGAGAAGACCAGTTGCTCTGCTCTCTCTGAGTTTTAGCTCGGTGATCATATTCCTTTCCTGCTTTGATCTTTGCTTTATTGTGAAATAATTGAAACTGGCATGGAAAGAAGATAACAGCTTTTCAGTCTGGCTGCAGGGTAGGAAGGGATGCAGGGAGTCATGAAATGGCCAGGAGTTCTTCCTGAATCTCCTAAGGACAAATCTCTGAATGGTTGGAAAAGATTACAAGCCTGTGAATGAGCTGCTCTCCTATTACAGTGACAGATGTTGTGGTTTTTTGCTTAAAACATAACACTAACAGAGTCTTAAAATAATTTAAAGAGAATGCCTGCCTCATAAAGCACAAGCTGCTGTTAGAGACCCCTCAGGTAGCTGGTATATCAGAGTACACAACCTGCTGCAATACTGCATAGATGCTGCTGGAAACACGTAATGCAGAGCACTGTCCTGGCTAATCTGCTGTGTCTCAGCAGCACTTTTCAGCTAATTCACAGTATGCTGACTTGGCCATCTGCATATCCTACTGCATTGCACAGGTATAATCTTGCTTAATTCCTGATATTTCTGTCCCTTCAGCACAATATGTGGATTATCGTTGCTTTGCCAATACAATACTGATACAGCTTCGTCATGAGGAAAGTCAGGATCAGATAATAGTAACGAAGAAGGGAGCACATGATGTGTCTGACACAGGAAGCAGGAATAGCACAGGTTGAAGCTAGCAGCCTTTCAGTGTGATGGGGGTGGGTGGGATGTTTCCGAGCTCTTGAAGGGGAGAGTTTAGGTAGAGCTAGGGAGCTCGTAAGGGATTGAAGCAGTGGGCTTGGCCTAGCAAAGTAAGAGCGTTCTTACAAAGATATGTATAATAACTTCATACTCTAATCATTGTTGACCTCGACAAGGTCCAAAACAGACACTAGAGACACCCATACATTTAAGAAGGGCCAGGAGAATTTGTCTTAAAATTTTGCTTCAGGTGACTTTAAAACTAAGACAGAATAGCAGTTTTTCTTTTAGGGTCCCCTGGCTTTCTAAAGTGCTTTAGCAAGAGCACTGTAATACAAAAAATACCGTCATTGATGACCTTCAAGATAAATGGCAGTCTCTTAAATCTAAATAACTTGAACATTGGGGTGTGAACTAATATGGTATTTCAGTTAATATTAATCTTCCATAAAATCAAACACATTACAGCCTTGCTTGACATTATATGTTGCTTATTTTCTGTGCGTTTTGTGAAAGCTGTATAATGTCAGGTAGAGGACGAGATTTCAAACAAGGTCTCCTAAAAAAAGCTGTTTGGAAACAATGCTCATGTCACTGTTTCTGTTTGGTTTTGTTTTCAGAATTGGAGGAAAGAACTTGAAAAACACAGGGAGAAATTACTGAGTGGAAACGAGTGTTCCTCCAAAAAGAAAGAGGTAAGTTATTTTCGATTTCACACAGTCCGTGTTTGGAACTTGGTTTATCATTGATGCTGCCAATACAGAATGTCATAAATACACTGTAAAAGTCAGCATCAAAGTACATAAACTGAAATGCATGACAGAAGAACATAATGCCAAATTAACACTTGTTTTATTCTATTTTTAAGAAAAAGAAAAAGGAGAAGAAGAAATCTAATAGGGTGAGCAAAATTTTCAGTTTTCGCAGCTTTTTTGCTTTGAGGTTGTTCCTATTTGCCATTGAAGTTCTCTTGGAAAGAGAGAGTATAGCTGTAATTTTGAATTTAGCTGTTAAATTGACTGATTCATATTTGAGATAGCTGGCTTACATTCTGTACAAGGTAACTTCAGTTAAAGGGATGAAAAGAGCGTTAAAAATGTAATATTAAATGAAAATCATTAGAAGACACTTTTTACAGTTCTAGGTAAGAAAATCTGTGTAAGACCAGCTTCTTGGAAGTAAAATTTCATTGATAATAACTTAGCAAATTAAGAAATTTTGAATGAAATGTTTGGATGGACTTTTGACTATTTGCCAGACAAAATGCTGCATCTCACAAGCTTCACTTTTTGTTGTGTTTGGTCAAGTTGTCTTCATCTTCCTCTTCTTCATCAAGCTCTGATTCTTCCAGCAGTTCATCTGATTCAGAAGATGAGGTAAGAACTAACTTACTAGAATGTAACATGTTTTGTTCATGTGGCTTATTTAACACAGATTTTCACACTATTTTATAATGTTCTTTGAGGACTTGGTTTGCATAAAACTATTTAATTGTGTGCATTTAGTCCATATAGTAAAGTCATGAATTTTAGATATATATATCTGTTCAAGAATTTCTTTATGAAAACTATACATTTTGGCTGGCTGACTTGTAAACTGGATCTGTTTCTGTTTTAACACGGACTGTAATGCTTTTTCAATAGAATCCCCATCTAATCATAGAAATGCAAACATACCATTTTTACTTTCTAGCAAAAATCTTTGTTACAGATAATCACATTCTGCAGCACACCTCTAAATAATAAACAGAATCTAGAGAACCTGGATTTTTTACCAGTTTACATTTTTTTGATACAGAAGAGTTACGAAGGTCCTCTGCTACAATAATCAATTGTAACATACTTTATTCCTCAAGAGAACCTGATAACATGTAGGAATTTGCTGTTCCCTATTCTTTACATTTAATGCAAGTCTTGAATTCTAGCCAGAGTAAATTCAGGGTTGTGTTTTTCTTTTTTCCTGCAATACTTGTGGATAGGATAAAAAGCAAGGGAAGAAAAGAAGGAAAAAGAAGTATCGCTCCACACGGAAATCTTCAACAAGCTCAACTTCTGAATCTGAGGCAGACAGCAAGGTAAATACGCAGGTGTGTTACCCGTGGCAAGTTTGCCTTGTTTGTGTTGTAAACACGTAAACCTTTGAGTTTCGTGTATTGGTATTTTTTTACCTTCATAATCTAAACCCATGCAAGCTGAGCTGCGCTTGTGTCTTCCCGATGCAATCAGGAATTTACCCCCACTGACAGAAATAATTTGATCCTGAGAAAATGAATATGCCTAATTCCAGCATTTTTTAGCTATTTTTCTGAATTCAGACTTGCAGCTTTTGTGATGCTGAAATGTTTTGTTTCAATACTACTTTAACACCTAAAAAATAAAATGTTCTGTGAAACTTCTGTGAATGTTATTTAATTGAACACCACCTGTGAAAATGGAGATATTGCAGAATATCAGTGGCTAGAGTACTGCCTTTCGAAATATCTGTGAGAACTTAGCCTTTGCCAAACGCATATTAAACTGAAGGTGTCTCTTTCCTTTTCTGGAAGTAGAGCAGGGTACATACACCGGCTCACTGAATGCACAGAACAGTGGATGAAATACACGAGGCAGTTTGTGCTGTTATGTTAGCATTTTTCTGTCTTGCAGTGGATAGCAACTGTACTGCGCGCCTAGATACTAACAATACAGAGAGTTGTCACGATTCTGTGTATAGACTTCATCACTGGCTTTCAGTGGAGTACCCAAGCCGGTGTGAATCACTGTTTGCATACTTCTGTGAATTTGTGCTATTGGGAGTTTGAAAACTTGTGCTACATCAAGGAACACAAGAGATACCCTTACTGCTGACACTGGAAGGCAGAAAACGCCACGGAAATACGTGCTTAAATCCCTGCCTGATCAGCAGAGATGGGTGTGGATAGAGAATAAGACTGTTACATGTTAGATATATGTGGCTCAGTAGTGATAGCTGGTATCCTTTCCAGAGGCTCTCTACACCTACTACAAGTACTCTTACCTGATTCCATACAGACCGTTCCATACTGCTGGTTCAGGAAATTAGCAGCTGCGGCTTTTTCATATTTTTCTTGTTAACTGCAAAGTAGAAAGAACAATGCTGAAGAATAACCTTCAGTAGACAATGGATCAGACTGCTTTTGAGATTTCTGCTTTTTTCCTGAAATAATTTTGACATGGCTTATGCTTTTCTTTCTATTTAGGACAGCACAAAAAAGAAAAGGTCAAAGGAAGAGTATGAAAAGGAGAAGGTATTTTTACTCTTGAAATACTTATATCAGAACTGCATTTTGCGTACATGCTGGAGGACTTGCCCCCTGCCCCTTAAATTCAAATATTGAATGTCTCAGTTTACAGCTATGGAAATTTTCTGTCTAAAACTACACAGTCAGAGGGTATTCAGTACACCAAATCTGAGGTAGGCTTTCAGTTGAGTTCAGCTCCTGTTTTAGTAAGAGTTGTTAGTGGAAACTCTTGGATCTGGTTTTGTTATGAAAGTAAAAGAAAAAAAGTACCTAATCTGCTGTAGTAGATAGCTGCATTCCAGTATTTTGGGTTTTATCTTGAGCAGTCACATTGAGCTAAAAATATGTGTGATGATATTTCAGTGGCATGCCTGGTAGGATACTGGCTTGTTGCTGTGAATTAAGGAACAGCAAGCAGAGGATATGTTTATCTAAATGTAGTCGTAATTATAGATACTGTACTTACAATGGCTTTGAAAAATTGCAGAGAAAAATGTATTAGCTTAAGAGAAATTACCTTATTCTGCCTTTTCTGCGAGCATGAAAGCCGTCTCTCTTTCACCATTTTGTACATGCATCTGAGGACTTCCAATAATTTAATGCAAATAATCTTTTTGACTTAAATTTTGGGTTTTTTCTACCCTAAATGTAAACTAACAATGCTTTCGGAGTCTTTCTCTTGTAGAAATTCAGTTAGAAATTGAATGCCAGAAAGTAGCTTCAATCTTAGGACCTTGCCTGGTCCAGAGCAAAGGGGGAGCAGGGGAGAAGCAGCTCATCAGAGCAAACTAATGCAGCATCCGAATTTTCAAATCATTTTTAAGAAAGACTGTCTTTTAAATATACCGTGCTAATATATGAGGTCTTGAAGTGCAGCTGGCAGGGACAGCTTGTCTTGGCTGGACACAAATACAGAGGGAGCTTTTCCTTTTCATTTCATCAAATTTCTTTCAAAGCAAGAGTGAAGCTGCAGTGTTTGTAAGCGCTTATTGACACACCTTTGTTTACTCACTGGTCTTTAAAAGTGGTGAAACATTTTATTTTCAAATGCTTACTCCTTCATGTGTTGCTGTTTAAAATAAGAGACAATACTGTAGTATTATTCCTCTCACTTCTAGAAGGCTGCTGTATCTTGGTAACAAGAGAAAGGAATACACAGAAAAAGATTATTTCCACTAAAAGCAATTTAACAGTAGGGTAATTTGTTCGTGGTAATTAGCTTAATGTCAACAATATTTAGAAATACTTCACAACTTAGAAATAATATTTCAATCTCAGTTTTAAGCAGAAGTTTTATAAAATTGGAAAGGCCTGACTTTACTCACCAGTATGCTACTTTGCGTAGGACAGCAAAAATCACCACAGGAAAAGGAAGAAAGCCGATCGTGGTGAGGGACCTTTATCATCAGAATCTGTATCGGAATCGGATCAAACAGAGGAGGTCAGTGTGAACCCTCAGTTTCAGATGTTATAACGCTTTTAGCTTACGGATTCGCCTGTGTGAATGAGCGAACTAGCTTAGGTTTCATATATTGGTGAAACTGTTGTGCTCTGTACAGTTGAATCTAAGAGCGCGGCAGGTGTAAAGTTGTTAGTATTTTTCTCTTTCATAAAAACTCTCAGTAAGAATTGTTTAGTACCGCTCCTATCACCTACTAGTCTTTTTGAATTCATTTTCTTGGAAATTTCCAATTTTTTGTGGGTGTTTTAGAGCTCGGTGAAATGAGGCTAAGTGGTTGGTGTGGAGTCCTTCACAAGATTTCTCTGATGTTTGTGAGTAAATTGGCTGATTTCAAGATGACTAAAAATGTTTGGCTCCCTTTTCCAGTGAATTATAAAATTTTGGATGTAATAAACTTACTCTCATCCTTGCATATATCTACTTCGGAGCCATCCCAAATTTTGTAATCCTACAAGAATACAAATCCTCAGTGTGGTGCGTTTTTTTCATGACACATTTTTGCCACATTACTAGTGTAGTAAGTTCACCTTTATATCTCTGCTGTCTCTGGTTCTGCTGTCTACTAAAAGCAGAGTGTGTTCAGAAATCAGATGTTTGCAGGATAACGTGTCTTAATAAGTGTTTCTTCATGGGTTATTGTTTAGTATGTTCTACCACTGTTGTGCTCATTTATATGCAACAAAAGCTAAAACTTTTATTTAAAACTGCATTTCCAAAGCTGCTTTCCCGTTTGATTTTTTTTTTTTTTTTTTTAAGGTGCAAGCAAAAAAGAAGAAAAACAATGAGGAAAAAGAGAAAACAGCAAGTATCCTCCTTAGTCCTGTTGTAGCTTTAGGATATAAATATTCTATACTTGGTTAATTTCTAATTCTGCACTTTTCAATAATACAAATACAATATTATTATTCTTCCTAGAAAAATTGTGTGTGTGAGTAATATGTATAAACCAAAACTTCTATACCAGGATTATTTTGTTTACATAATGTCACATCTTTTCATAAATTCAGTTGAAATTCTGCTTGAAAAAAGACAAGATTGCATCTCTCAGTTTCTGTATTACAGTGATCAGGGTAATAACTTCAGGACTCAGTCCAGTAGGGTTAATTGAGTGTGTTCATATTTATGATTGAGATGGTTATTTTGAACAAGGTGCAAATCCTGGAGGTTCTAGCCAAGTGTAGTTGAACTGTTTAATTTTGCACAGTAAATATAAGCACTTACTTTAAACTCTGTAAACATCCTAGTTGTTCCCACATACATACGTTGTCACTGCATGCCAAAGCACTTCCCAAGTACTTCCTCAGAAATCTGCAAGGCACTTAAAATCATTTAAAAGATTAGGAAATGTAATAATGACAGTGATGAGAGGTGTGAAATAGCCAGACCATGATGGAGATAAACTGTAGACTGCTCATACTAGTGCAAATTACTGGGTAAAATACAAATTCTCTTTTTGTGATTTCTCAATAGGATTTTCGAGAAATGTGTTTTGAAATGACTGTGTAAAGATTTCCTTTCTGTGCTCTCACTTTGCGGTAGCAGAATTTAATAGATGGCAACTTTATTATACGATAACTTCCATTTAATTTTATTACTTTTTAGGATAAAACAAAAAAGAGAAAGAAGCACAAGAAACATGGTAAAAAGAAGAAAAAGAAGATTGCTGGTTCAAATTCGGATTCGGAATAATACTTTAAAATACCAAGACTATCAACAGAAGTGCAATGACTAAAGGAAACTTAAACTGTGAAATGACAGCAAACTTTACCAAACTGCATGAGTTTTCCTGTGTTTTAGAAATATTCCTAATCTTTCAATAGCCGGCCAGATGCAGCTGTGCTGGAAAAGACCATTGTTATTGCCTGCTGCTTAATACATGAGGTACAACTTTTCTAGAATTCCAGTAAGCAGTGTTAGATGTTGGAAACAATACGAGATGGTAGTCCAGCTGAGGTGTAAAGTATTGGAAAATGAGAGTTAAACTTTTTAGATAGTAAAAGTAGTCCTTTATAGCATTAGTAATAGTCTTTATTTGTAAATCAGGACAAATAAAATCCCGAGTTCATCCTGCAGGTTAATATTTTGCATAAACTATTACAAGCTGGTGTCTGCTAATGGCATTTACAAAATGGGAAGTTAATGATAACAGTTGAAATGCTGCCTTTGTAGAAATGTTTATCATCTGCCCCATTACCATCTTCATGCTTATGAGAAAGGGAATGCTGTACTGTTTTGGCTAACTGAATAGGGTGCCTTTGCCTTTGATTCTTGCAAATCTCTGCTATTTTTAATCCATGCAGCATCTCTGATTCTAGGGAGGCCAGAACTATTGTCAGCAGACTTTTTCTGAATAAGCAGTTCTGGGCTTCTAAGCATGTGCTTCTGCATTAAGCAAGAGCAATGGCATTTTGCAGTAAAACTGACATTCAAAACCTGAAGATTTTACCTCTGCTTCTTCGAAATAGCGATAGATCTTTGCTAGTAAATACGCATCTTTCATTTAATGTAATTTTGGTTTAGTTGAGTGCTTCTTGCAAACACTGGTAGCTTTATTTGCATTATCTTTAGAGTTGTTTGCATGATTTGTACCATTTTTAACTTAACAAAATGCAGGTAACCGTTTGTTGTAACCAGTTCTATGAATTACGTTCCACATGCAGAGTTTCATGTACGTATTTAGTTATTCTTCTAGTTAAGTTCATTGCTGTGTTTAAGTGCACACTTGCTGAAGATATTTAGCATGTAAAAAGCAGGGTTTTGATACCTTAACAGCTTCATATTGAAGCTGATTTTACTCTAAGCAAGTTCAGTGGCAGACCTGTTACGTGATGTGTCTTGTTAGATTAAAAAAACCCTACTGCCAGAATCTCATTAAAGATACTGTTTAAACAGTTTGTATTTATATTTTTGTACCTGAGGGCTGCAGAATGTTGACCTAAATCACAAAGCTGTTTTACTTTAAATTAGTTGCTCTAGAAATTGAAAAAAGCTTTTATAAATTAAATGTGCACACAAGAAATCACAGGCAACCATTTGCTGTTAGTTTTTACATGGAATTACTGTATCTTCCAGGGAGGTGCCCATTGCTGGGCCTCCTGTTAGCCTTTAACAACGTCCTGTCTAGCCCGAGTGGTCAACTGTAGGCTGTGCTCTAGATCCACCCCTTTTTCCATTGCATGGGTGCTAACTTAGAACTTACCTCTGTACATACAGCTGGTTCAGGTATTTCATTGCCAAGAATTTCAAGACCGTTAAGACCTTGATTATTAGGCTGCAAACCATAACTAAAAACTGGGGGTGGGGGTTGGGGGGGAGATGATTTTGTATTGCCAAGCTACGGAGAAACTGACTTCAAGTTAAGTTCTTGGGGAGAATAAAAACCATTGTGTTGCAGCAACGTCCCTCTAAACCAGAGTAAGAATATTTTGATCAAATATTTTGTACTGCCAGGTGTGATGTTACCGATTCTAGACACTGTGTTTTCAGTGAGGTTAAAAAGAAGGCAAGATGCAGTGAACTGCAGGGGTTTGGTTTGGGGGTTGCGTTTGGTTTGGTTGGGGTGGTTTTCTTTTTAAGCTGTGGTGTTGCAGTTGTGGTAAAAGAACTTGTAACGAGCCGTGGCATAAACGCGCTGTCCTGTGCGATATCTGATTCGACTTTTACACAACAACCTGCAACAGAAAGAAATAAAAATGGAAATGAGCCCCAGTCTTCCGCATACGTAAGCGGGTATGTCATTTTAATTGTCTGACTACATTTGCTCGGGGCAGCTCTCGGCTGTTGTCGTGCTTTGAAAGGGGTGTCGCTGCTTTAGGGCCTCACGGGCTAAAAGCTGCCTTAACACCGACAGTGAAATGGTTCCTCTTGCATCCTCTTTGTCCGGAAGGGAAAGTGCGGTCACAACCCTTCAGCTTTCTCCGTGAGAAGGTGATGCGGGTTTCAGGTGACACCGGCCAACCTCCAGGCACGTTCCCAAAGCAGTGTGGGAATAAAAGTATTTTAACAGATTCCTGGCAGCAGATGGGAACACATGTGGGCTTTAATTCGTAGCTCTTCTTCCCAGAAACATTTTTTTAAAGTTTGGAATTCTGTTAATTTCTTTTCTACCCCTG